GGTTGAAATAATAATAATAATAATAATAATAATAATAACAATAATAATAATAATAATAATAATAATAATAACTACGCAAGACGCGCAGAACAACAGACTCAGATATTCTAATGATAAAATAAAATGAGACAAAAATGTTAAGAAATCGGCGAGAAAGAAATCACTCCACGGAAATATCTAAAATCAATGGACAAGTTGCAAATCGAGAAAGATCTATCATCTATGTGGCTTAAAAGGGGAAGAATGACGCCAGAATCGGAAGCAGTTGCAGTAGCTGCCCAAGATCATGTGCTGAGAATACATGATTATAAAGTGATTCATAATTTCCCAAGATGGTAAATGTCGCATTTGCCAGAAGCAAGTATTGATTGATTGTTTAGCGATTCCGGGCACAACTATTAGGGTCGTTAGTCCTGTAAGTGAAGTACATGTTTTGCTCGTGAGGTAGCGGTGATCTTTCCCCCGCCGTATGGCGAGATCCAGCGCCGAACTAGCGTTGGAACTAGCGCCGAACTAGCTTTCCCAACCAGATATCTCCCACCAGCGGGGCACCGCCCCAGTCGGGACAAGTTCTAAGCTCCCGACCGGTCTCCCAGCATGTTTAGTACATGTTTTGTACATGGTAGCAGAAACAAATAGAAACCTTGTGATCACGTCGTCACATCTTATTCAATTCCATCAAACCGAATAGGTACTAGAAAGAGGAAGTGGATGTGTAGTTACACCACTAGCATATCTGTAACGCGTTTGAAGTTCAAAACACAGCGACAAAAGGGGAAAAATGACGTGCTTATGGAGTTTGTGACACCCCTATACCAAATTTAAAAATTGTTTTATACATTAGGCTTTATCGGAAAAATATACACATTTGAACCTGTTACTACCGCACACTAATCAATTGTAAAAGAACTAGTACAGAATGACACAGACGTTCCCGTATTATTTTTCTATTTTCTTTGGTCTCGGTTAGCTATACGAACTTGCCACATACTCTTGCCAGCTACCATCTATCGCCGCCAAAAGTACATTTTTTTCGGTTTCCTGAACAGAAATATAGTTTTCAGAATATTAAAGAACAATAAAACCTCGTCCTAAATAGCAATTTTCTTTGAAAAAATTGGAGTAGTTTTTTAAGAAAATGGAGTCTTGGCGCTACTGTAAATTCGAAATTTGAAGCTCTTTTCCACAGAAAAGTTTTGAGTTACGGAGAAACTCCTTTGGACGTCATTTGAAGCAGATTAATTTACAAATACAATAGCGTTTACAAATTGCTGGAAAGGTGCATATTGAAGGCGTGAGAAATCTTTGAAAAAATTACATTAGGGTAATTTTCGAAAAACAAAAACAAAAATATATCCCGAAATGAATTTTGCTGGGTTGTGATGACGAAAAACTGGATAAATTCTGTTGGTATATTTAGGAATAAAATCCTGTAACTCGTGGGGTAGCCAGAATCCATGTTTAGTTGGTTCTTGATAACGAAAAATCGATTGACGGCAAAACGTGTCATACCGTCCGTCTGTGGTCCACGCTAGCTGGTAAACCGATCAGCCGATTTTATCCAAACTTGATATTTCCTAATCGAC